TCTTCTATCCTGGAGATAATTGGGAAGTAATCCAATTATCTCCAAGGACAGAGGCAAAACTCCATTAGCCACATGGTAGCAAAATACAATAAAATACCTAAAAATATATAACTGTGCAGCTATTGCATAACACAGGTACATTCAACATATCCCCAGATAGCTTAGATCTGAGCGCACATTATTACTGAATGGCGCTCAGAGCACACACATACAGTTCAATTGCCATGGAACCAAAGTCTTTCACATAGTCTTTCGTTATACGAATGGGCTCCATGGCATAGCTATCTGGGGTAACACTGCTCACATAGGGAAAGTACCGAATGACCCGGCTTTCGGGTCTTTGCAGGGGAAAATCAAGCATTTCAACATGGGGCTATAGTCACAGGGCAGGAGGCTGGCAATCAGTCTTCTCCAATGCCCAGTGGCGAGGCTGGTTCCGCCACATTTCTCCCCTTTCCCAAAAAGACTAACAAGGTATCTGGCCTCCCGTCGGTCAGTGCCTTGGTTAGTCCAGCAACCCACCCACAAAACATAGTCAGTAGTGCAGCCCACTCACAATGAAAAGTTACTGCACCTAGGGAAACATGCAGCCAGTCTTTGTCCAGGGGCCCCATCACGGCTGTGTGGGGTAAGGGTACTCCGGATCTGTGGGTTGCTGAGTGGGCAGAGACCAGCGGTACTCTGCCCTGGTGCCAGCACTTCAGCTGGAGTAGTCTGGTTGGAGCCCAGCTGTGAAGAGGGGGTGGTAGGCTCCTCTCCCTGGACCTGGTGCTGCTGCTGGAGGGGGAGACCGACTGTCTCCCCTTTTGATAAACAGTCCTGCTGCTCGGGATCTGGGCAGGCTGTCCTGCACCCGTGTAGACCGGGTGCAGAGACCGCGGTCCCATCTGCCCCATCTGGGGAATAAGCTGCCGTTGGGGAGAGGTGGTAACCGATGCTCGAGAGGGGCACCGACTGCCTCCTCTTCCTGTAATACACTCTGCCGCTGGGGAGAGAGACCGACTGTCTCTTCTCCCAATAACTCGTGCTGCTGTTGGGAAGTGAGACCGACCTTCTCCCCTTCCAATAACATACACAGCCACTGGGGAGAGAGACCGACTGTCTCTTCTCCCAATAACTCTCTTGGCCGCTGGGGAGAGAGGCTGACTGTCTCTTCTCCCAGTAACCCATACTGCTGCTGGGAAGTGAGACTGACTGTCTCCCCTTCCAATAATGCGCTCTGCCGCTGGGGAGTGAAACCGGTGGTCTCTCCTCCCTGTAATGTACTCTGCCGCTGGGGATCGGGGCCGACTGCCCAGCATCCCTGTAGGGCCGGTAGAGCGATCTCGGTCCCATCTCCACCTGCCATCTGTGGGTCTCTCCAGGACCAGTCTATGAGGTACCCTACTCCTGCAGCTGGTAGTGAAGCAGGAGGTACCTAGGCTGCGTTTTCCCAGCTGTAGGCAGGCAGGTCTGGGTCCGCCACCCAGTTTTCCCATTCTGCGTCCATGCTCTGCGGCTGACACGAGTTTAGTAGTTCCACATAGTCCATCTCCAGCTCTCGTTCCATGGCAGCGAAACGGCGGAGGACTTCTCCCAGTCCAATAGATCTCGGGCCCTGTAACATCTCACCCCAGTAATGCAAGATAGCCCAGTACCGTGACTCTGCTGGACTGCCGAAGTTGATGTCTTCCGCTAAGGCCTTCCACAACAGGCCAGGGCTAGTGTAGTTCTCCCCCTCTGGCTGGATGCCCTCTGCCCTCCACGTCTCTGGCTGGACGGTGCACCACCACAGTGCCCGGTATGAGGTGTCCAGGCTCAGTTCCCTTTCCACGAGGTACTCAAGTTGTCTGACCTGCTGCCCTCCGGGTTGGTCTCCCAGAAGCGGCATCCGCCAGGCCATTTGTTCCTCCAACTGGTATGCGACACCAGAAAGGCGCTGCTGCCGTTGAAACTGGACTTCCTCCAGGGCATCGTACCATAATTCTTTCCGGGCAATATCTCTCCATTCCAATTTACTCTCTTCCTCAGGTGTGTGTGCTGCCCAGGGGTCCACGAACCCCATTTTCCTAAATCTTTCTGTAGACAGGGACACTGTATAAACACTAGCGTCGCCCTCAATTTGTAAATCCACGAACGGTGTCTCTGAGCTGCTTTACCTCCCTCTAGGATGCCATCCCACCGCTTGCCACCAATGTAACGGATCACCTGGCACCCCGACTGGGTACCTCCGTTGAAGGATGCTCCTAGCGCTTCCTGAGGGCTCCAAGCACTCCAGCCGACACCAAAACCACCGTAGACTCCTTCAGAGCGCAAGACCGGAACAAGCTATTACAAGAGCTTAGCAGTGAATATAGCAAGAGAGTATGCAGAGCATAGCAATCCCTTGTAGCAGATTCCCCCAATAGGTGACGGCACTCCATATTGAGGGTGAAGTACAACTGGCAGAGCTGTGGGTTTATTGTTCTTATATACACATTCTTACACATTAGTACCACCCACAGGGTTTTGTAAAACAACCAGTAAACATGTACAATTCACTCAGACACTCCCTCACAAAATCCTCCCCTCTGCCTGTGATACAATTACCTTACACAATGGGTTAATGTAATTATCACAGGCATGAAAATACACAGTTTTACACAATATTCATAACTTTAAAAGTATGCATCACATTCACATAGAATACCAACATACGTCAAAATCATACAAATTGGTCCAGTGGGTCAAAAGTTAGATCAACGTTAGATCAACCACCTAATGTTAATATTGACGAGGAACAACAGCTGTTTGAGCAAATTGAGAAAGCTGCAAATCTGGGTAACACTTTAATTATTGGAGATTTTAATTACCCAGATATAAATTGGGACAGAGGGAATAGTGCCTCAGCAAAGGGAATTAGGTTTTTAAACTTGTTAAATGCACCTTCATGTCACAACTTGTACAAGCACCAACTAGAATGGATGCTTGTCTGGACCTGGTTTTAACAAACAATGTTGATCTTTTGACCAACATTCAAGTAGGTGAGCACTTGGGAAATAGTGATCACAATATAGTGTCCTTTGAAATAAACTCAAAAAACCAAAAGCACATGGGGAATACTAAAACATATAATTTTAAAAAGGCCAATTTCAGTAAGTTAAGGGAAGCTTTACAATATATTGACTGGCATAAACTCTTTAGTGAAAAGAACACTGAGGATAAATGGATCATCTTCCAACAAATATTACAAAGGTACATTTCTCAGTATGTACCATTGGGAAATAAATATAAAAGAAACAAATTAAAACCAAGGTGGCTTAGTAGAGAAGTAAAACAAGAGATTACAACTAAGAAAAGGGCATTTAAAGCATTTAAATCAGACAAATCAGATGCATCTTATAAAAGATATAAGGATGCAAATAATGCGTGCAAAAAGGCAATTAGACTTGCTAAACTTCAAAATGAAATAATGATAGCTGAAGAGAGCAAAACCAACCCCAAAGCATTTTTTAAGTACATAAATTCTAAAAAAAAACAAAATGAAAGTGTAGGTACACTAAAAACTGAAACGGGGGTGTTAATTAATGAAGACCAGGAAAAGGCAGGAATTTTAAATAACTATTTCTCCTCCGTATATATTAAGGAAGAACCCATGGCAATAGATGTGCAAATGATTGCTACTAAAAACTTGCAGAATAATTGTAATTGGTTAACTCAAGACAAGGTGCTGCAGCAACTAAAGAAAGTTAATATAAACAAAGCTCCAGGGCCTGACGGTATCCATCCACGTGTACTTAAGGAACTAAGTGCAGAAATAAGTGAACCTCTGTTTTTAATCTTTCAAGATTCTTTTCTTTCAGGAAGTGTTCCGGAGGATTGGAGGAAGGCAGATGTGGTTCCTATATTCAAAAAGGGTTCAAAATCCTTGCCTGGAAATTATAGACCTGTGAGCTTAACTTCTGTGGCTGGGAAAATATTTGAAAGGTTATTAAGGGATAATATTCAAGAATTCCTTGAGAAGAACATGGTTATCAGCAAAATCAGCATGGTTTTATGAAGCACAGGTCATGTCAAACTAACTTGATTGCGTTCTACGAAGAAGTAAGTAGAAGTATAGATCAGGGTGTTGCTGTGGATGTGATCTATTTGGATTTTGCCAAGGCATTTGATACAGTTCCACACAATAGATTAGTGTTCAAACTCAAGGAAATCGGTCTAGATGAAAATGCTTGTTCTTGGGTAGAACATTGGCTTAAAAACAGAGTACAAAGAGTTGTCATTAATGGTAAATTTTCAAGCTGGACAGAGGTGGCAAGTGGTGTCCCTCAGGGTTCTGTTCTGGGACCCCTTCTATTTAACTTGTTTATAAATGATCTTGAAGACCGCATTGAAAGTCATGTTTCAGTGTTTGCAGATGACACCAAACTTTGTAAAACAATACAATGTGAACAAGATATTACTTTGCTGCAGAGGGATTTAGATAGACTGGGGGACTGGGCACTCAAATGGCAGATGAAATTTAATGTTGAAAAATGCAAAGTTATGCACTTCGGCGTAAAGAATACACAAGCAACGTATACCCTTAATGGAAGCGAATTAGGGATAACAACACATGAAAAGGACTTGGGAATTGTTATAGACAACAAACTATGCAACAATGTGCAATGTCAATCAGCAGTGGCCAAGGCCAGTAAGGTATTGTCATGCATGAAAAAGGGCATTCATTCTCGGGACAAGAATATAATTTTGCCTCTTTATAAATCACTGGTAAGACCCCATATTGAATATGCTGTGCAATTTTGGGCACCTGTTCTAAAGAAGGATATTATGGCACTAGAAAAAGTGCAGAGGCGGGCTACAAAATTAATAAAAGGAATGGAACATATCGGCTATGAAGAAAGGTTAACAAATTTAAACCTATTTAGTTTAGAAAAACGTCGCCTGAGAGGGGATATGATAACATTATACAAATATATTCGGGGCCAATACAAACCATTGTGTGGAAATCTATTCACAAACCGGACTTTACATAGGACACGAGGCCATGCGTTTAGACTGGAAGAAAGAAGATTTCGTCTAAGGCAAAGGAAAGGTTTTTTTACTGTAAGAACAATCAGGATGTGGAATTCTCTGCCTGAAGAAGTGGTTTTATCAGAGTCCATACAGATGTTCAAACAGCTACTAGATGCATACTTGCAAAAACAGAATATTCAAGGATATAATCTTTCAATGTAGGGTAATAACTGCTTGATCCAAGGATAAATCTGACTGCCATTCTGGGGTCAAGAAGGAATTTTTTTCCTAGCTTGTTGCAAAATTGTGCTTCAAACTGGGTTTTTTTGCCTTCTTTTGGATCAACAGCAAAAAACAAATGTGAGGTAGGCTGAACTTGATGGACGCAAGTCTCTTTTCAGCTATGTAACTATGTAACTATGTAACGTCCTTTGTGACCAAATCAAGCATGGCTTTTTGCCCAAAACCAGTTCCACAGAGTCTTCTATCCTGGAGATAATTGGGAAGTAATCCAATTATCTCCAAGGACAGAGGCAAAACTCCATTAGCCACATGGTAGCAAAATACAATAAAATACCTAAAAATATATAACTGTGCAGCTATTGCATAAAACAGGTACATTCAACATATCTCCAGATAGCTTAGATCTGAGCGCACATTATTACTGAATGGCGCTCAGATCACATACATACAGTTCAATTGCCATGGAACCAAAGTCTTTCACATAGTCTTTCGTTACGTTATACGAATGGGCTCCGTGGCATAGCTATCTGGGGTAACACTGCTCAAATAAGGAAAGTACCGAATGACCCGGCTTTCGGGTCTTTGCAGGGCAAAATCAAGCATTTCAACATGGGGCCATAGTCACAGGGCAGGAGGCTGGCAATCAGTCTTCTCCAATGCCCAGTGGCGAGGCTGGTTCCGCCACATTGTTATTGTAGTTTAAATGCACAATGTTTAGAAATCAGTCCGTGTAAACAGGATACAGGAGTGAATATAAATAGCAGGAGGATTTGTGGCATCAAGTTGCAAGTGCAAGCCGCTTATGAGAAATAGTAGGGGTCTGTAGCAACTGTAAACCATGTGTTCGGAATGATGGGACCTAGTGGCAGGTTTAGGCCACGTGTTCGGATTAGCTAGATCTGGCAGCAATTCTAAGCCACATGTGAGGATCATCTAGATTTGGGAGCAGGTCTAAACCGCGTGTGAAAATTATCGGGGCTTGGTAGCAGGTCTAAGCCGCGTATGACGATTAGCTAGACTTGGTAGCAGGTCTAAGTCGCTTGTGAGGATTAGCGGGGCCTGGTAGCAGGTCTAAGCCACATGTGAAGATCATTTAGATCTGGCAGCAGGTCTAATCATTGTGTGAACATTATTGGGGCTTGGTAGCAGGTCTAAGCCGCGTGTGAGTATTAGTGGGGCTTGGTAACGGGTCTAAGCCGTGTGTGAAGATTAGCGAGGATTGGTAGCAGATCTAAGTCGCTTGTGAGGATTAGCAGGGCCTGGTAGCAGGTCTAAGCCGCATGTGAGGATTAGTGGGGCTTGGTAGCGGCTCTAAGCTGTGTGTGAAGATTAGCAAGGATTGGTAGCAGATCTAAGTCGCTTGTGAGGATTAGCGGGGCCTGGTAGCAGGTCTAAACTCTGTGTGAAGATTAGTGGGGCTTTGTAGCAGGTTTAAGCCGCTTCTGAGGATTAGAGGGGCTTGGTAGCAGGTCTAAGCTGTGTGTGAAGATTAGTGGGGCTTGGTAACAGGTCTATACTGCTAATGAGGATTAGCAGGGCTTGGTAGCAGGTCTAAGCTGCGTGTAAAGATTAGCGGAGCTTGGCAGCATGTCGAAGCCATGTGTGAGGATCAGCGGGGCTTGGTAGCAGTTCTAAGCTGCGTCTAAAGATTAGCGGGGCTTGGCAGCATGTCTAAGCCGTGTGTGAGGATTAGCGTGGCTTGGCAGCAGGTCTAAGTCGCGTGTGAGGATTAGCAGGGCTTGGTAGCAGGTCTAAGCTGTGTGTGAAGATTGGCAGGGCTTGGCACAAGGTCTAATCCATGTGTGAGGATTAGCGGGGCTTGGCAGCAGGTCTTAACTGTGTGTGACTAGTAGCATGTCTAAGCAGCATGTGAGAATTAGTGGGGTCTGGCAGCAAGTCTAAGCCGTGTGTGAAAATTATTGGGGTCTGGCAGAGAGTCTAAGCTGCGTGTGAGAATTAGTGGGGTCTGGCAAAGAGTCTAAGCCGAGTGTGAGAATTAGTGGGGTCTGGCAGCAAATCTAAGCCACATGTGAGAATTAGTGGGGTCTGGCAGAGAGTTTAAGCCACGTGTGAGAATTTGTGGGGTCTGGCAGAGAGTTTAAGCCACGTGTGAGAACTAGTGGGGTCTGGAAGAGAGTCTAAGCCATGTGTGAGAATAAGTGAGGTCTGGCAGAGAGTCTAAGCCGCGTGTGAGAATTAGTGGGGTCTGGCAGAGAGTCTAAGCCGTGTGTGAGAATTAGTGGGGTCTGGCAGCAAATCTAAGCCACATGTGAGAATTAGTGGGGTCTGGCAGAGAGTCTAAGCCGCATGTGAGAATTAGTGGGGCCTGGCAGAGAGTCTAAGCCATGTGTGAGAATTAGTGGGGCCTGGCAGAGCGTCTAAGTCTTTGTCAGGACAAGCAAAGTTCTGCTGCATTGAATTGAGTATTAGAGATCCTAAAGATGAAGAGATTGAATGGTAGGCAATAAAACTGCATTATGAATCAATTAAAAGTGTTTTATAAATAATACAAAGAAGATTCAGAAATTTAGAAGACAAAAATAATCTACAGAGGACAGACCTGGCAGTTTTAGGAAGACAATATACAGTAATTTAACGCTCGGAATATAAAGTGAAATCTGATCAGCAACAGTAAATAATATAACTCCCTCTCCAGTAACGACCTGTGTAACCAGATATCCTCATTTATTTACCGCACCGGTAATGACTTCCTGTATTGCCAGATATCCTCATTTATTTACCGCACCGGTAATGACTTCCTGTATTGCCAGATATCCTCATTTATTTACCGCACCGGTAATGACTTCCTGTATTGCCAGATATCCTCATTTATTTACCGCACCGGTTATGACTTCCTTTATTGCCAGATATCCTCATTTATTTACCCCACCGATAATGACTTCCTGGTAAGCCAGATATCCTCATTTATTTACCGCACCGGTTATGACTTCCTGTATTGCCAGATATCCTCATTTATTTACCCCACCGATAATGACTTCCTGGTAAGCCAGATATCCTCATTTATTTACCCCACCGGTAATGACTTCCTGTATTGCCAGATATCCTCATTTATTTACCCCACCGGTAATGACTTCCTGTATAACCAGATATCCTAATTTATTTACCCCACCGGTAATGACTTCCTGTATTGCCAGATATCCTCATTTATTTACCCCACCGGTAATGACTTCCTGTATTGCCAGATATCCTCATTTAATTACCCCTCCGGTAACGACTTCCTGTATTGCCAGATATCCTAATTTATTTAGCCCACTGGTAACATCTTCCTGTATAACCAGATATCCTCATTTATTTACCCCACCGGTAACGACTTCCTGTATAACCAGATATCCTCATTTATTTACCCCACCGGTAATGACTTCCTGTATAACCAGATATGCTTATTTATTTAGCACACCATTAACAATGTCCTGTAATACCAGATAACATTACATCAATGAATTACCCCATAGGCAGTGACGTCCTGTTACTTAATTACCACTAATGCCATAGTTTCCTATGCAGTTGGGTAAAATAATTTAATTATCCATCAGGCACTCCTATAGACTGTAAGCTTGTTTGAGCAGGGCCCTCTTCAACCTATTGTTCCTTTAAGTTTTTGTAATTGTCTCATTTATCGTTAAATCCCCCCCTTTAATAATATTGTAAAGCGCTACGGAATATGCTGGCGCTATATAAATACCAGTAATGGTAATAATTACCCCTCAAACGACGACTTCCTGTATAACTGGGTAACTATTCTATTACCTGTCAGGCAGTGACACCCTGTATAACTGCGTAACATTAATTACCCTTAGTGCTGTGACTTCCTGTCTAACTGGGCAGGCACCTAGTATCGCCCAGTCCCATGCAGTAACCGTGTCATTTGCAGGGCTACATGTAATGTGGTTTCTGTCTGAGGCTAATGGCCACTTAAACGCTATAAATTGGTCACTAACTGCTGTATATTACATTTAGAAAACTGCCGTGTCTCCATCTGCAGAAAACAAAACCACAGTGGTGGCAGTTTATAGAGAATGGAAACACACATCACTGTGTTGAGAATGAAACATCACACCTTTCTTTGCATATAATTTACAAAATATAGAATCTGTGTATTTGCTAGATCTCCACACTTGAATATTACAAAATAAAATTACAAAAAAGATGCACATTAAATATTCTGTGAGTCTCTGGCTGAGGGGCGGTACACAGCAAGTACCCAGACAGACGTCCACTTGAAGGTATACCAGTCACGGGATCTACGCCCACATCATCTCCTGGCTAGCATGGAAGTTCCTCAAGGACTGGAGCTCAGTGTCTTCATGTTCTCACCTCCATGTTGAAGAATCATTCTAAAAGGCCACAGCATGGCACAGCATTGTGAGTCTTGTTTATAGATCTATATCTACATACCGTTTATAGATTTATACAATTTTATTATTTTTTTTACAAATTGTCCATGTTCATTGCTGGCAAACTGGTACCATAATACATTCTGCTTATTCCTTTATGTAGAAATACATTTCGTAGCTTAAATAAATAGTTATCACTGCAGTGCTCGGAGTGTGAGCAGCAATCTGCTCTGTAATATGGAGTGCCAATAGCTAAACACCTGCACAGGTCCTTATGAATGTGCTTCACTCTGCTCTGTAACGCAGAATTCCAATAAATAGTTATCGTTCAGCTTCACTTGTCTAACAGGGGAATCCAATAGATATCTTCATTCCTGAAGACTGAGCTTCACTCTGCTCTGTAACGCAGAATTCCAATAAATAGTTATCGTTCAGCTTCACTCTGCTAACAGGGGAATCCAATAGATATCTTCATTCCTGAAGACTGAGCTTCACTCTGCTCTGTAACGCAGAATTGCAATAAATTCATATCCGCACAGGAAGTGCTGAGTGAGCAGCACTTTGCTCTGTAATGCAGAATTACAATAGATCTCTGCAAAGTTCCTGGCAGCTAGGCAGTGTTGGGTTCTGTAAGGTGGAATTCCAATCTCAACAGTTCCTCCTGAGTTATCTCTTTGGTTAATTACCTGTAAACCTGCTGGAGACTCAGGTTGCTGAGGCTGTTAGCGGATTTAGCGATATCGCCATTGCACTTTCACGGTGTACGACATGGATGACCCAAATGTTTCTCCGTTCGCTAACTGCTGGAAGGACCATGGTTTAAGAAGTAGGTCATCATTTCACCTTTACCTTTTACCTTAACAACTCCTCTGCATTCTAGTGAATAACTGTTCGCTGCTAAAACCTGCTGTAGATCAGCCGTCACCTGAAACAAGAGAACAAATTGCGTTTGTAAAACCAGAGGATACAGTTTATGTTCTGCCAAATAATAGAAAACTGTATATTGGGGTTCCTTACCTGGATTCGTTCTGGTACCCCAGTGCTGTCCATGCGGCTTGCCACATTTACAGTGTTCCCCCAAATATCATACTGAGGTTTCCGAGCCCCTATAACACCTGCTACCACGGGCCCTATATTCAGACCTGTCAAGGAGAGAGGATGTGAGCGAGCAGTGATGCTTAATTTACAGACAATCTGTCAATAGAATTTCACTAGAATTCAGATACAGTCTGTGACAAACTCCCCTTTTTAAGTGAGTTTGCCACAAGTTCCTGGAGGAGCCTGCTTGCCAGCCTCCTGCCCACAGACTATGGACCTTGTAAAATGTGATGTAAAAGTCTCCGTTCGTGTATTTGGACTATATGGTTCGGGAACCGAACAGCCGCTGCCTGTGTTCATGCGAACAGATGGCGGCCATCTTGTTCGCATGAACACAGGCAGCGGTGTTTGGTCGTCAAGTTCATGGAACTATTTTCGGACACTGAAACTCCTGAAAACCGCTGGACTTCCATGATCGCCTGGGTTCGGGCCGACCGCAAGCCCCAATTCTCTGGAACTGTTTTGGAAATGGGACCATATGTGCGATCCGTCAAAATTATGACTTCCAGGAAATTCCTGAACCTGTAACTGATCTGTGTGATTTTTGGATATGTCGGGTTTTATTTATTTTTTTTAAAGGTGCTTTTGGGGTGTTTGAGAAATGTGTTTTTTGTGCCTGGAGATAATGGAGTTTAATACAGTGCTTGACTCAATTATCTCCCAGGTACAGGGAGTGTCCTGGACCTGAGAGCCAATGTAATCGTGTGTATGTTTTTACTGTAGTCTACTCTCAGGTCCAGGGGGGAGTGTCCCTTGCATGGGGACCTGCATATAAGGCCAGTTGTGGTGACCATTAAAAGTATTCCAGCTTGTACTCCAAAACTATGTGTTGTCTGGTTACTGGGAGGGGAAAGGGCTAATCACTGTTCCAGTGCGGAGGATTCAACAGGTAAAGTCCTTGTAAGGACTGGAGCTCCCAGGACTGAGTGCCGACCAGTGCCTGGGGGTGTCTAGAGCGAATTCCCCATTTGGCTCCAGAAGGGAGCAGTTCCAGGACCCCAGTCAAGCCACGGCGACTGTGGGCAGAAGTGCTGCTGTTTGTCCCGTTTCAGCTGGGAAGCAGTCCTTGGCGGAGGTACCCAGCCAGGGGTACATGAAGTTCCGTCACACTGTCATGTGATCATAAGAAAGCAGGGACTGATGGGTCTACTGGGCAAAGTCTGTGATAACCAGGAAGAGCTTTAATTGTCAATTTTTGTCAAACGTCATCTTCTCTTTCACTGCTTGAGTTGGTTTATAGAGGATGTTGTGGTCTTGTGAGATTGTCCACAGACCACTCGGTTAAACCCTCGTGCATGCACAAGTGTACAGCAATGATGGGTGCTCCTGGAATGGAAGAAAATGGCAACATCCAGGAGGGAAGGTGTCAGGTAAGTATAAATTCAAATTTAATAGGAGCCTCTTTAACTTCGTAGACTAACTGGCTCTGCACGTCCAGTGATTTGTTTAGGTTTGCAAAGTATATCGGCATCTTTATCACCAACACTGCTATTTACACATTCTTCTTTGGACATATCTGTCTATTGTTGCTCAGATCATTTCTTGTATATATTTGTATTAGTTTTTTTAATCTGTTACAGGTTATGTGTACAAACCTATCTTCATCTGGAAGTTGTTGAATGAATGCTCGTTGATATATTTCATCTGATCCATTAGTCTCATTGCATAATCCGCCAAAGCCTTGATGTGCGATTTCCCCACTTTGTCATATGTCGTGTCATTGAGTCCCGAAGCCGCCATGTAAGTGCTGCC